CCTTTTGTCTTCAAAGACTCAGAAGCATGTTAAAAAATTAAAATACAAAGAATAGAGAGGAGGCCAAGAGAGATTAGTAGCAATGCATTTTGACTTAAATTTTTACCAACTTACATTAGATGAAAGTTTACTATCAGTTAGTCTATTAAGGGACATTAAAGTCCACTTCTCAATTTTAGATGATTGAGTAGTGGAGCTTAGATTATCAAAATATCAGTATAAAAAGTCCAATCATTTGTTCAGATAACAATAGTGGTAGTAGTAGTAGTAGTAGTAGTAGTAGTAGTAGTAGTAGTAGTAGTAGTAGTAGTAGTAGTAGTAGTAGTAGTAGTAGTAGTAGTAGTAGTAGTAGTACCACTACTACTACTACTACTACTACTAATAATAATAATAATAATAATAATAATAATAATAATAATATTATTATTAATAATAATAATAATAATAGTACTACTACTAATAATAACAACAATAATAATTATAATAATAACAACAATATGTATTTTTTCAAATATTTTACTAATGGAAAGTATAAATCCAAAAAGAAATATAATAATAATGATATAATAATTATAATAATAACTATTATAATAATTATTAATAACAACTAAACACATGTATAATATGATGTAAGTTCACAAAGGTTTTTTAACATAATGAAGGTCATTGATTTAATGGTGAAAGATGATTGAACTATAAAAGGTTAATGACATACCTGTTGAACCTCTGCCTTCAAACACTAAGATGCTCGAGTTCTTTTTAAGTTTATGGTATGTGCGTGTATATATGATAGAAGGTCGTTTGGTCCTGGTGTGTATAATTTAGAAGATGCACAATTCCTTATATACTTAGAGTTATTAATGATACATGTAATTAAGTGCACGATTTTATATATGTATATAATAATGCTATAAGATTCTTACCATTCATACAGCTGGATTTTTTATACTATGATGATAACTTGAACCACAATAGATAGTAAAAAAAGCAATAGTAAGAATGGTAATAAAACTTTAATATGATGTAAAGGAGAAAACAGAGAAAAGGAGATGATATTAAAAAATATAAAAAAAAAGTGATAAGAATGTTGATAAAACTTTAATATGATGTAAGGCGGAAACAAACAAAAAAACGGTGAACTACTCAAAATGAGTCATGAAGCTAAATTCAATACTAAAAACACCTGTGGGAATTTCTATAAAAAGAAGTATAAAATGCAATTATGTTTTACATTTTTTACTCAGTGTAGGGCGTTTAAGGATACGGGGCAGCAGACGGTAATTCCTACCACCAGAATTGGATATCTGAATGTCGAGTTTTTGAACAACTTTCTTCATTACAGAAAGGAACAACTTACTTAATTCACATATATATACCTGCAGTCAGAAAAAAAAATCAAAACTTATATCCGAGATTGAGACAAAGAATGGACTATTGAGGAATCCACACCTGGTCATGCAGGTTACTCATACGTGTTTAGTTTGTGACTAAAATTACATAGTTCTTTGATCATCTTTTCCAAATTGCTTTGAGTTTAGTTCTTTTAAAACACACTTACCTTAAGTATAGTATTCAGGTAGTAAGTATTGCATTTGAGTAAGTTTACATATACGTTTTGGTTATTGATGAAGAAATTCATTAAAGTCTGCATCAAATAAACTTCAGTTCTGTAAAGCACTATAGTATTATCATAAGTAAACATATTTCCTCTTGGTTTATCATATTGAAAAGGAAGCATGTGATTAGCAACAAATGAAGTATATTTTCATATGGGGGTAATTTGTAATCCTATTATATATGAAGAGGTGTCTCATTTTCAGAATTCTCTAGAAGTTGTATGTTTGATTTTTAAGAATCAAATGACCATCACTATCTGCCCGTAGTCAGTAAATGTTATGATGGAAGGAATCATCAAAAACAACCTGGTGAGATTATACCAAGCATTTCTCCAAACAGTGGATAAGACAGCAATTCTAGCAACTTCTCCAAGCCACAATTATCTGAAGAAGCTTGAAAGATTTTCTCAATTACTTTGGTTGAATCAGAATTGAAGAAATGTAATTATAATCAAAAGATAACATACAATCTAAGATAAAGTCTTACCTATAATCAGGACGACTTATAATCAGGAGGGTGAATAGTATGGATAGGATGATGTCTGGCAACGCCATATGCAAAACTTGAATCATGGCTTGAATACTTTTGTCCTACACATGATTTATAAATGTTTCTTTAGCACTTTTAAAAATCAAAAGGGCTAAATGAGTACTTATCCTTACCCTCATACACTAGGTTATACAGATTTAGCATGCTAAAACCACAAAGAAAAAAACAGAACTGACCATTAATCTTGATTCAAAATTCTGCAATTCCAAAGGATAGACATACCTTGAAGTACTGCAAAATTCCTAGAGCTTTACACTATTGGAGAAGATGATAAGAGCAACTTCAGCATCACAAAGGATAGACAACTCATAGGCCTTCTTCAGCAATCCATTCCTTCTCTTTGCAAAAGTCACCTGCCTGTTTATCTTATTCTCAATCCTCTTCAGTCCCACTTTCCCTCTTCCCATTTTTCACCTAGCTATATGATCTATATATAGATACTTAATATTTATAATACACACATGAATTGAAATAACTAAAACCAAACCTGGTTTTGGTGGTGTCGGTTGTCAATGCCATGTATGGATAGGATGAAGTCTGGCAACGCTATATGCAAAACTTGAATTCTGGCTTGAATACTTTTGGCCTACACATGATTTACGGCAATAATGTAAAGATGACAGGGATGAAATGGAGGGTTGCATTGCATAAAAAAGAGGTTCAATTGAGACATAATTGAATGAGACCTAGATACTCGGGTACACTCGATCATCTCCCTTGCATACAGTGTTGATGTTGGACGCTACACTCGATCATCTCCCTTGCATACGGTGTTGATGTTGGACGCCGTCTATAAGACCATGAGGCTTCATACATGAAGGGAGGCGTATACGGTGGTGGAGAGAAGTCGTGAGATGCGGAGAACGTGAAAGATGAAAGGAGATGGGCCTTGTGTGCCTCAGCGAACGATTCTGATGGGCTTGTGTCTAAGCGAGAATACTGTTCATTGAACAGTGAAAGTACTGTTCATTGAACAGTAACCATTTGTATTGTTATTATGTATATATAGATTGCTACTATTAGGTCAATATACGACGCACGTTCTATATTGACTTGATAGTAAATTTTATTAGTGAACACATCTCGTTATTAATAACTACACTAGATGAATTGGAGACACTCCACGACTGAGTATTCGAGAGGAAGATGGTTAAAGATATAACCGGGATCGACGAACATTTCATAAGTGGAAATAAGCAAAACCAAGTATCCCTCTCTCTATTAACAAAACTCATATAAGTTGTTCATCTTTGTGTTTAAATACTTTTAAGTTCAACAACAATCTAAAAACACCCTTGTTACAATTTAATTAAAAGAAAGATATTCCTTTTCTCTGTGGATACGATCCTTACAACACTATATTACGCTAATAGTGCAAGTATTGAATTTATTTTGAGGCACACAACGACTATAGTGCCGTCAAGAGGCGGATCCTATTTTAGGTATGTACATGAAGTATTTATAGATCTAGGTTTTTTTTATTAACCTCTTGTTTCCCCTTCAATTTATAGATCTAGGGTTACAATCATTTAAGGAGATAAAACTGATGCATTTAATATTGTTGAGTTTAATCCAACACGATATAATATATATAGATATAATTTGATATGAACACTCGATCTTTAATTACGTGGAAACCCGAAAGGGAGAAAACCATGGGACTTTTTAGGCTAATGTCCAAGCCCGCTCATTTTATTAATGTCCTTCTCACCATTACATTGTACAAACTCCCATTAATGGAGTATTCAAGCTAACTATAGAGAAGGAGGAGGAAGGGAGGGGATCTCTCATAAGGAGGGAAAGCCCTCTATTTATAGAAAATAGAGGGGAGAGTGTGTGATCCACCCTAATGGCCCAAATAGGCTGAAATGGGCCCAAAGGGCCAAAACAGACATGAAAGGCCAAAACGGGCCTCACTGGTCGGGCTCCGGACTGGGTAATGTTTGGGCTCCTGAACAGTGGTAGGCCGGGATAATACATCTCAACAAATACATTTAGTTATGATATGAGTCTTGTAACGTCTTGATTACTACGCAATCATTATTCCCCTAGGTCCAAGTCTCTTCCGTTAGTGTCCTGCCGATGCCAGATAGTTATGCTTGAGTGATAGCCTGCCACCTAAGTCCTGTGACAAGTCTGATCTCGCTGGAATCCCGCTCAGGCTCGATGTCTGCTATCCAGACCGGTCTGGTTTTGGGTTCCTTTCGCGGGTCGAGTTCCTAGTTAGGCCCAACAACCATTATTAATTAATAAGTTTGATTAATGGGCTTGATTCGTTGTTCCCGTGTAATGGGCTTTCATTAATTTATTCTTGGGCCATGATTGCGATCCATGGTACCATCATAAGGTTAAAGTTAGTTTTATGACTAAATTGACTGAAATTAATGTAGAGGACGATTTTAGCTATGTTTCAAATAATTTTTCCTTTATTCTATTGATAGAATATTTTAGTATAATTTTCCATAATTTAATTATTATATTCAGCCAATTCAACTGTTTCAACTAAAACGTAATCAATTGCAACAAAATCCATCCAATTTGTGTTACCATATGACTTGCGTATTAAATATGTTGTAAAAGATGTCATCTATAAATAATACTCTGTAGTTTGACTAGTCTCTATCAAAATAAGCTATTTTTCAAAGTTAAGTGTTCAACTAAATAATTAAGCTACGGGGAGAGTTCCACTATTCTATTTTTTTTGGATAAAATGTAAGTATATATTAAATCATCCAAAAATAACAAATACATGTGTCAAAAATAACTATCTAAGCCAGTAAACTAAACTAAAATAGTAACTAACATTCACGCCCCCCCCCCCCCCCCCCCCCCACCTCCACCTCACGGCAAGGGTAAGGGAGAGGGGAGATTTGTAAAACAGAAATCACAAACTAGTACGGGACAGGCCCCGACTTAGTAACACAATTGAAAATAGTTCAAAACAACAACATAAACATCAGTCCACAAAAAGTAAAGAGACTGGGTTGTGAGCTAATAAAAGCCCAAAGGCCCAGCACATATATCTGCTTCTTCCCAGCGTCCAGGGTAATTCCCTTGTCCGCATGCACCTTTCTTTAAGCAAAATAGTTAATACACCAACCCAGCAGTAACTTAGCCCACCAAGTCAGCCCTTCCCAAACTCCCAAAGGCGTCCGCGTCCCAGCTGAGGCTAGGGTTTGGAGAGTTCCTCCGGGTCGGCCCAATAGGCATCGCTTCCTCTAGCGCCGCATCTGTTGATCAAAATTCAAAAGAAACCATCCCACGTGTTGGTACAGTACCAGACAGGACAGCAGACAGGCGGTCCAATCAATTCCATCCACGCAGACCGTTGACTCTACCGTTTCCATCGCCGGCAAAATTCCGGCAAGTCTCTGTCGTTCCCCGGCGAAGCTCCGCCTGGCCAAAAAGTAACCCATAACCACTCCCCCACCCCCACCAGGCTCCGGCATCAGTCCCGGTGGCAACGGTGGAGGAGAAAGAAGTCCCAGCCGGAAAGTGAACACCTGCCAATCCGTAATCCCACCTCCCACCACCCACCCCCGTCGAGCTCCGGCGACCCCCGGCGGCATAGGTGAGGTAGCGAAAGGATGGCGTATTAACAGTACCCGGAAAGCAAACTAACTTTTCCGATTCCCAAAACCCCAAGGATTCCGTTCATCTTCTCCGACAAAAAAAAACTCCACCAACACAAGCGCGATATCAACCCTCAGGGTGTGAAACTCCACAGGCGCCGAATAGCAAGATAGCAGATTTAACCTCATTTCTGGACATTTCCTTCCACACAGGTTGACGAACAGGGATAAATCTCTATTTTCATATTACGACCACCCGTGGCTGCAAACTCCCAATCCCCGGTCTTGGCCCAGCCAGGGATCCGTAACGAAGCAGTTTAAAGCTGAGGCCGCGTGAAAGGAACTGCACCGGGACCACCCACACCCGGTGCTGCCACGGAGAACGCCAAAGCCCATGGAAGATGAACAACCTGCAGGCTTTCAGATGCAGGAGGAAGACGAGCAGGTTCCTAGACATTCAGGGAGTCAAAAACCGCCATTGACGAGTGCCCCCATCCACTATCTCTGACGTATTCAACTACCCCAACCATTCCGGCGACCCGTCCGAGGACGATGGAACTGCATTCACCGGAGGGTTTTCACCCCGGTTGTGAATGAAAAGGAAAAGAAAGAAGGTGAGTAAAGTAGTCAAACCTGAAGCATAAACCGGTAGATGGACCACCGGACCATGTACAGAAGGATCAGTCCAAAAAATTAGCTTATCTTCCACCTTGAATTCAGGCCATGAAAATCCAGCCTAGAACATCAACAACACGGCTTTCCAGGAAGCCCAAACAGCACCCAAACCACCAGTATTCCGTTCATCCCCAACCGAACACTTACCTTCAACCTTTCCCATGGTCATCGAATGACAGTGACAATTAAAGTGTCGTCGGAGCTCCTTTCATGCTGTGCACCAACTAAGTTAACAACCCACAAGGTTTTAGTAGTCTTGCATCAAGAGATAGGTTCCAAAAATCCGGCCATAGCCATGAAACAAGACCACCGGAGCCGGGAGGGCTCCGGCGCCGGCGGCCACCGCAAGTGGTGGTGCCGGACCAAAGAAAAGGGGAAGAGTCTAAACCTCAAACGGTCTAGAGAGAGACGCTCTCAACTTCCCCTCAGGCGCTAGAGTTCCACTATTCTATATTCAATTTTACGTTTTCTTTTCATATGTTTGACGATCATGTTATGTTAACTTACATCTCGAGACACATTATACTCCTCAAACCTATCATTATGTAACTACGTTATCACAAGAGAATCTCACCACAATGTGAAAAACTTCGCACCTATTCATTCTGAAAATGCTATCATCGGGGACAGAGTCTCACTCTCTATCTGTCAAATTGTGATTATAGTCCAATTTACATCCTCCTAATGTACCGTCCGGTCCGGATTGTGGGGTCCTCAGAGATGGGGTGTCATCATTTTTTTGAAAATGCTATCATCACAATGAGAAGAAATTCGCACCTATTCATTCAAAAATGCTATCTGTACACATCAAGTTGTACACGTCATTTTACACGCCGATCAAATTGTCTATGTAAGAACAATTTGACCGATATGTAAAATGTAGTGTACAACTTCCTCTCTACATGAAGTATGATTGTTACTGATTTGACCAAATCCGACATTTAAATATGTTACATATTATAATGAAGGCCGCGTGAATTTGAATTTTCTCTTTTTATCATTAGCATGCCATTTTTTTGACACTATTGAATAATTAGACTTACATAGTTAAATTTATGATCAAATCAAATGGGCGTGAAATGAAATGAGATTCATAGTTTACAATTTAGACTGGATTGAGAGCTCTCCTTAAGCTACCAGCAATCTAGAGTTGAATAAGTTAAATTTGAGCTATTCACTTCAACAATCATTGGAAACCATGTATTTGGAAGTTGGAGTTTAATGCACCAAACCCCCTCGTGATATAGAAATTCAGCGCATTAGTTCCATGTTATTTGAAAAATGCGTCCAACCCCCTTGTGTTTTAATTAATCATGCACAAAGTCCCTTTTATGACTAAACTTAATGATTTTGAAATCACTTTTCCTAATATTCTGATTGAATGTGCTAGTAAATATTTAAAAATATCTAAATCATACAAAAGTGTTAATCATTTTTCTTCTATTTGACAATTGAATTCGTTCATATAAGGGATTTTGCACATAATTAATTAAAACATAAAGGAGTTTGACGCATTTTTTAAATCATCAGAAACTAATGCGCCGAATTTCCATATCAATATTTGGTTTATGGCACTCTTGGGGAGTAAATTACACCGTACAACCGTCCGAACCTAGGGTGTACCTGTTTGTACTTACTTTCAACTTTGAGGGCAATAGCTGTGTTAGTTATTGTTCTTTTTTCGGCTGCAGTACGTACTTCACCTGGGCGTCTATCCGCTATGATTTCCGCCGCATGCTGTAGCAACAGTATTCCACCTAGACGCTGATCGTTGCCTCCAATTCTACGGTACAATGCTTTGATTATGCAGACCAATTAGATAGTGCAAATGAACAATTTAAATATTATTACTAATAATCAAATGTACTTTAGATATGGTATGTATATCCCTTCATAAATATAATGAAACATAAAAGGTAAATAAACGAGGATGGTAGTCATGGGAGCACACCATCCTAGACGCTGATCGTTGCTAACTTGCTATGGTGTGTTCCCCTTCCTTTTTTTTACTCCTTTGTCATTTTGCTTTTTAATTGTTTGTTCTCTTTCTTTTTTTTTCTTAGCAACATTCTACTTTAATTATTCAATTATTATGAAAAAGTAGAATATAAAATATTATAAAAAATATTATTAAATGTCCCAGTTTTTTCCCCATCTAACTTCTAACTTTTTTTGCTGTATTATAACTTATTTTTGGTATTAATATTTTACTTTTCTATTTTAATTTAAAATGAATATTTATTAGCTTATTAAATATTACTTCCTCCGTCCCAAATTAATTGTCTTGTTTGCTTTTGCACAAGTTTTAAGAAAATTGTTGAAAAGGTAAAAGTTGTGGTTGAGATTTGAGTAGAAAAAGTGAATTGATATGTGATTATAAAACTACTATATTTGTGATTATATGTGCACAATGAATATTTGAACACATTAGAGAATTCAAATGAGCTTTTGAATTTTTTATGCTCATTTTGTAAATTACTTATGTTCGTCTGGTAATGAGTTTATACTCATTTTAAAATGTCATACTGATGCATATTTCAAAAGTATCATATTAGATTCACATAAGAGTTAGATTAAAATGTTACATCAATAAAAAATGCAGAAATATATATTTATATAGTGTGATTGATTCTTAATTCAAAGAGGGAATGTACAAAGTGTTGAATAATATATTGTTACATATGTTAAATTCAGAAGGTGTTCTCTTCACCTGATCTGGATGTTTCTGATCTGAATTTATTAAGTTTTGATCTGATCTTATCTGATCTTAATTTTTCTGATCTGATCTGATCTGATCTGAAACTTTCTGATCTGATCAAAGTTGAATATTTCTATAATTATAGTTATAATAATTATAATTATAATTATAATTATAATAATTAAAATATATATATAATTATATTTATAATAATAATTGTAATTAAAATTCAAATTATAATAATTATACCTATTACACTAATTATAATTATAGCTATAATTATAATTGTAATTATATTTTAAATTATAATTATTTCTAAAATTATAGTTGTACTTTTAAATATAATATGTATTTCTAAAATTATAGTTATAATTGTAATTTAATCTATAATTATAACTATAATTCTAATTACAATAATAATTGTAATTACAATAACAACAACAACAACAACAATAATAATAATAATAATAATAATAATAATATTAATAAAATTATTTGAATAATAAAAGTGATAAATCATGTTTGAACTTTTCTGATCTGAATGTTTCTGATTTGATGTGAATGTTTGTGATCTGGTATGATCTGATCTGAATCTTTCTGGTTTGATCTGAATGCTTATGATCTGATCTGAATCTTTCTGATTTGTTCTGAATTTTTCTGATCTGATCTGAATAAAATAAGAATAAACAATAAGTAATAAGAATAAGACGAACATAACAGCTTCTTAGTGAGTATAAAACTTGAAAGGAATGAGCAAACAATAATGTATACCTGAGCACATTATATAAATACATACTCAATAAAGGGGTTTAATGTTCAATGAAAATGTGGTTATACTCAACTAAAAATCTTATGATTTCATATTAATGCTCATTTTGTAAGTCATGTATGTTCATATGGTAAATTATGTATGCTCATTTGGTACTAGTGTTATGCTCGTTTTAAAATGTTATGTCAATGCATATTCAAAAAGCACTATATTACATTAGATTCATGTAGGAGTTGATTATAGATACGGGAGCACAAACTATATACTCAATTGCATGTTTCTAATATTCAATAGAGAAGATTTTATGTTCAATGAAAATGTTTTGATGCTTAATAAAAAAGCTTATGATTTTCATATGAATGCTTATTTTGTAAGTTATATATGTTCAATTGATACTAATGTTATGCTCATTTTTAAAATGTCATAACAATGCATATTTCGAAAGCACCATATTACATTATATTCGCATATTGAAATTAATAGGAATTGATTATAGATATAATTTAATGAGATTTTATAAAAAATAAGAAAAAGAAAGTGAATTACAATATATGAAGTTGATATCACAATACTCATTATTCGACTGTTAATGCTCAGTAGAATACGTCTGATGCTCATTAAAAGTATATTAATGCTCATCTAACGAAAACCGCGATTTTAACTGAAATTATGAAAATGACACCGATTTTTAGTTGTGATATTAACTTTCTTGTAATGACACGGTTCTCATTGTTAGCTTCTTAATGCTCATTAAAACTGGACCATTGCTCATTAACAGTACATTAATGCTATTGAGCATAAACTAGTTTTCACATTAATTATAAAAATGTCATCAGCTGTACAATGCTCACTGTACGGCCGACTGTACGGTATAAGCACTTCTCTTGGAGGTGAGAATTCAATCAAGAGTATTCAATCTGGTCTTTATTCTTCACGTTGCACGAATCAAGAAAAACAACAGCTGATTGACCATAGGAAGTCATACACATACACTGGCCTATGTAAAATTTTATATCATGTTTTTTTTGAACAGTAACATATTTTTATTTATACTCCAGTTTCTATAAAAATATATATCAAAATTCATCACTTTTTATTAATGAACACGTATCGTTATTAATAACTACACGTCTACACTCAATGAATTGGAAATACTCCACGATTGAGTATTCGAGAGGAAGATGATTGAAGATATAACCTGGATCGACGAACACTTCATTAAGCGGAAATAAGCAAAACCAAGTATCCATCTCTATTAACTAAACTCATCTAAGTTGTTCAGCTTTATGTTTAAATACCTTTAAGTTCAACAAAATCTAAAAAAACCCTTGTTATAATTTAATTAAAAGAAATACATCCTTTCTCTGTGGATACTATCCTTACAATGCTATACTACAATAATAGTGCAAGTATTGAATTTATTTGAGGCACACAATGACTATAGTGCCGTCAAGAGGCGGACCCCCCCTTAGGTATGTACATGAAGTATTTATAAATCTAGGGTTACAATCATTTAAGGAGATAAAACAGATGCATTTAATACATTTAGTTATGATATGAGTCTTGTAACGTCTTGATTACTACACAATCATTACTCCCCTAGGTCCACGTCCCTTCCGTTAGTGTCATGTCGATGCCAGATAGCTATGCTTGAGTGATATCCTGTCACATAAGCCCTAGGACAAGTCTGGTCTCACTGGAATCCCGCCCAGGCTCGAGGTCTGCTGTCCAGATCAACCTGGTTGTGGGTTCCTTTCACGGTTTGCGTTCCTAGTTAGGCCCAACAGCTATTATTAATTATTAATTTCGATTAATGGGCTTGATTCGATGTTCCTATGTAATGGGCTTTCATTAATTCATTATTGGGCCATGATTACGATCCATGGTACCATTGATTGAAATTAATGTAGATGTTGATTTAGCTATTTTTCAAATAATTTTTCTTTTATTCGATCTATTGATAGAATATTTTAGTATAATTTTCCATAATTTAGTTAGTATATTCAGTCCATTCAACTGTTTCAACTAAAACGTAATCAATTGCAACAAAATTCATCCAATTTATGTTACCATATGACTTACG